TATACAAAGGTCCGGGGAGTGTGTAGACCCCAAAGGCCAAAAACAGCTTTTGAAACCAGGGCCCACTGAGTGTCGACGTGCCAAGCACAGGGCTAGAGGCAGTGAGGGCTGGAAGTGGTCGCGTGACTGGGCTGTGGCTCTGGGGGTGTCTGCTGCACAGATGTTGGGTAAGGCTGGGTCTCCAAAGGGGACGCTGGGTCCTGTGAACCTTGGGCGAGGTCCTGAGCACCTGAGCTTTGCATCCTCTCTTGTAAACTGAGGATGATGCCTACTTCACTGGATCGTATCGAGGATTACGTGAGAGTGTAGGCAAAGCCCTCATTTTTAGCACCTAGCACAGAGTAAGTGTTGTGAGTCTTCAAAATAGGTGTTATTGGACTTCCTTGGTGGCTCAGTGATTAAGAATCCGCCTGCCAATGCAGGGGACACGAGTTCGAGCCCTGGTCCGGGAAGATCCCACATGCTGTGGAGCAACTAAGCCCGCGAGCCACAACTACTGAATCCCGCGTGCCTAGAGCCCATGCTCCACAAGAGAAGCTGCCGCAATGAGAAGCCCGCGCACCGCAACTAAGAGTAGCCCCTGCCTGCCACAACTAGAGAAGCCCGCACACAGCAATGAAGACCCAACATGGCCAAAAATAAATAAATAAAATAAATAAATTTAAATAAACAGATAAAAATAAAAAAGACATTGGTGACTTACAAAAGAAAAGCATCTGTTAAAAAAAAATACTAGGGGCTTCCCTGGTGGTGCAGTGGTTGAGAGTCCTCCTGCCAATGCAGGGGACATGGGTTCGTGCCCCGGTCCGGGAAGATCCCACATGCCGCGGAGCGGCTGGTCCCGTGAGCCATGGCCACTGAGCCTGAGCGTCTGGAGCCTGTGCTCCGCAACGGGAGAGGCCACCACAGTGAGAGGCCCGCGTACCGCAAAACAACCAAACAAACAAATCAATAAAATTAAAAAAAACTAGCTTTAGAAAAAAGGTGTTATTGCTGCTGTGATTGACGTATATACATAAAAGTGTTTTATTTATACAAAAAGAATTCTTTCTAAAAATTTCAATTATAGGAAAATATGTCTAAATATCACCCGTACCTGCTTGATAAAGATAATTTTGTGGGCTAAGTCTAAGTAGAAAGTGGTATGGGGTGACAGAGGCCTTTATTTTGGAACTGCAAACCCAAAGTTGGAAAACAGTGGCAAACCTTCCAACAGGCTCCAAGGGGACTTCCAAACCCCTCCCTCACCTACCTCTTCCCTCAAGATGTAAAATCACTTCCTGGAGCTCGGTGCTTCGGAGTCAGACTGCCTGGGTCTTGACTGTGTCTCCTCCACGGGTTAATCTTGTGACTTTGGGCCACTTTTTCAACTTCTCTAAGCCCCAGTGTTTTCTTTAAAGGATTTTTTGTAAGATTTAAATGGAATAAACCATACAAAGCACTTAGCACTAAATACATTTATTATTATTGTTTCATCCCTGGGATAACTGTGTATGGCCAAGAAAGGGACTGCTTCACACACACACACACGCACGCACACATGACACTCCTTTAAGACTGTAAGAATTATGCCTGTTCACTAACATGGCAGAGAGGAGTGCCTATCTTATGTTAACATCTAATTTAGGAGTAAGGACAGCAAGTCTAAACCTACTTTGTGTTTTTAGCCCCTACAGTGCCAATCTCAGGCGCCCTGTATTGTCTACATGATTGAATGGTACCAATCAATCAGGCTTCTCGTATTTACAGAGTTGAAGTTCAAGCTTGGGTTCTGGCTTCAAGGGCACTACAGGGACCATCATGCTGATGTCTCTCATTCTTCTCCGGTGTTCTGGCCAGTGGTTAAAAGGCTGGACCCAAGGCAGCCTGCTTAGGGTCGAATCTTAGGGCTACCAGTCATTAGGTGTGGGGTCCTGGGCAAATTACTTAACCCCTCTGTGCCTCAATTTCTTTTCTGAAAAAAATATGTTATTGAAGTATGGTTGATTTACAATGTTGTGTTAATTTCTGCTGTACAGCAAAGTGATTCAGTTATACATATATGTATGCTTTTTCATATTCTTTTCCATTATGGTTTATCACGGTATGTTGAATATAGTTCCTTGGGCTATACAGTAGGACCTTGTTGTTTATCCATCCTATAGATAATAGTTTGCATCTGCTAATCCCAAACTCCCAACCCTTCTCTCCCCTCCTCCCCTCCTCCTTGGCAACCACAAGTCTGTTCTCTATATCTGTGAATATTTCTGTTTCGTAGATACGTTCATTTGTGTCATATTTTAGATTCCACATATAAGTGATATCATATGGTATTTGTCTTTGTGACTTACTTCGCTTTAGTGTGATAATCTCGAGGTCCATCTGTGTTGCTGCAAACTGTGCCTCAATTTCTAATATTAGTCAAAGAGGATTGGTGATGATCATGGCATATACTTCATAGGGTCGTTTCGAGGATTAATGTGAGTTAACCTCTGTTAAGCACCTAGAATAAGACCTGGTGCAGCCTTGGCCTCCAGGCATGTTCCACTCAAACACGTCCTCCACAAGCAGCTAGAGTGATGGCTCTAGGGTTCTGCTGGCCAGATCCGGCCTCTGCTTAAATTTCATCCTGATGACTAGAAGCTCCTGTCATCTACAAGATAAACTCCAAGTGCCTTATCATTGTGAACAAGGCTCTCCTCTCCAGCTCCAATTGACCCCCTGGGACCATGGAATGACTGGTAGTTTCTTGCACAATTCATGCTAGGTCTAACCATCAAGCAATGGCTAGAATGCTCTCCTCCAAACTTTCACCTTGTTAAAAGAGCTCTACTTTTAAAGGAACAGCCTTTTAAGAACCCACAGGAATGTTACTTAAAAAGCAAGGCTGCAGACATCATACCTTACAGAAAACCCTCCAGATTCTTTATCGTGGCCTCATCTGTGCACAACTATTTCTAAGATTTGACCCAGGTTTAGTCTGCCTCCGATGGCTCTCCTCTTGACACTAATATCACTTTCTAGCCATCCACCAATGTTTGGACAGCCACTGAAGTACTACGGGTGCTAATATGGCAATGGGGACACAGAGGGCCCCCAGGGCTGCCACATACAGTTGTGCAGGTGGTGCCCTCTGATTCAATTTATCATAGCGCTTACACATGGTTTTATAAGTATTTTTACTTCTCTATCTCCACCCTCAATACTCTCAGCAACACAAAGAAAAAAAGGTTTTAAATTTAACTTTCTGTCCTCCGCACCCAGCGCAGTACTTGGTATGCAGCACGTTTTAAAGTCCTCTCAGGAGAATGCCTTGGGGTTGGAGAATTCTTTTTAATGTGTTACAATCATAGTCACAATAGCTTATAAATTGTTTTGAATGAATGACATTTAAGTTCATATTAAAATATTTATTCCAATAACTCAGTACTGTGGGAACTATGCATTCTGACTGATATGAAAGCTTATCTATCACTTAATCTGTATTAGCTTCAAGGGAAGAAACATGACAGATCTGGGAGCCAGGCAACTTTGGCTTTTCTATTCCCATCTTTGCCACAGCCTTTCGGTGTGACACTGAGCGAGTCATTGTCGTCTCCAGAATGCAAATAAAAGGATGGACTCAGTAGTCTCTAAGTCCCTTCACGGGTGTGATCATGGGTTACTTCCGATCAAGTACCATGTTCACACAGTAACGTGTTGCACCGCATTTTAAAGCTGGATGGGGGTTTAACGATCCTCTGGTCTACACTCCTCACTTCACAGGTGCTCTTTGCAAAGTAGAACAGATGCTACTATCCTCCTTTTACAAATTAAAATCCTCAGGCCCTGAGGGGGTGAGTCATTTGGTCTAAAGGAGGGTGAACTCTAGCGCATATTCCCGCTACACCACACTGTCAACGAGGCTTTACTGGGTCCAGTTTAGTCTTGTCCACTTTCTGTGGCCTGGTCCTCAATGGAGATAGAAAAGCACCAACTGGCATGTGCTCAGCTATAGGCCTTCGCATGCTAACAGCGTTAGGCTGTCCTGGGCCTCCATTTTCCTCTGAGGGTGGAAATGCTTCATTGCGGGGTAAATGCAAGTCTGGTTCTGGTTTGTTTCTTACCAGAGTGAGAGTCTACATTGACAAACATGGAAACCAGGCAGTTTTCCTTGTTGTAAGAGCAGGTTTCTGGGTGACCAGGGTCAGGGGAGAGAGGAGTCAGAACCCAGTAAGTCGTTCTGGTACTGGTTAATTTGACCGTGCACATACAGTAACAACGAGAACAAAACCTACATGTATTAAGTGTCTATGTATACCAAGGATTTGACAGATATTGTCTCATTTAGAAAATGAAATTTCCGAAAATAGAAGTTTAAGAAACCAGCAATTTTAGAAAGAAGCTTTAGAGAGGGAAAAATATGATGGCGTCTGGAAGCAGAAATGGTCTTACGTGGTTTACAATACAAGGCCTGAAAGCCCACGGTGACGGGGACCACCACATCCACCTGAGGTCTACTGAGAGCACCCTCCTCTCCGAGTCACAGTCACGTCACCTGCCTCTGCCGAAACCAAAGGTTTTTTTTTTTTAAGGTGGGCTTTGGGGTCTTAAGAGGGATCTTGGGTCAACCACTTCCTGGTGGCACTACCACTTCCTACCAGGGAAATCTTTACTGATTCTTTTAAGCTCTTAGAGCCTCAGTATTTTTATCTGTAAAGTGTGTTTTGTTCTTTTTTTAGATAAAGGTTAGTTATAACAATATATAAAATTCCTTGAATAGAATCAACAGATTCTAGGCTTTCCAATAAGAGTTGAAGGGAGAGAAAGAGGAGAAGGGAAAGGAGAAGTCATTTATTACATTTATTATGTTTCATTAACATTATTATTCTTCAAGATACGGCTTAGGGTCTTTTAGTAAATGGCAAAATTAAGAGCATTCTTCCACAGATTACCTGCTTGAGCTATTTTCCCCCTGAGCCAAGCTAATTAAAAAATACCACAAATGTTCTAATTACACCATTGACATTTCTTTTCGGTAACTGCAAAGGGACCTTAATAACCATGTTAAAGGACACATTAATATGAAATGTAACTCACTGTGAGTCTGATGTTCCTACTAATTTCTGGAATTAGTGGCACAGAGAATAAGTTGCTTTTGTGGGACAAATGGGGAATCTGAGACCCCCTTTCCAAAGCACAGGGTCTATGTCTCCGAGCATTAGGAAGTGAAGCAAACTAGCAAGACCATCCAACTTAACACATTCAGCAGCATTTGGAGCTATGGTGGGGAAAACAGGCTCCCTAGTTAATTTCACACTTCCTCTATACATTTCAAAAAACAAGGTGTGACTCTGCAGCTGGATATTCAAAAGACCTTCAGAAGGCTAAATGCCAGGTACTTTCCAAACTTCCCTGCCCTAAAGGAGCTTTCTGTTTCCCCGTGTCTGTTTGCTGGGGGAAATCCCAAACTGCTCAGTTAAAGCTAGGGCTTTAAGCTTCTCGAAGGATATTTCCTGCTCATTATGGCTCTGGGTTTACTGGAGCTGTTGGCTTTTGTCATTCTCGGTGTAGGAATGCTGGGGGCTTGTCTGCACTCTGCAAAACCCAAGGAAATTTGCTAAAGAGGAAGGAAAGGAGGAAACGGGCGTCCAAGGTGTGCCTGTGTTCCCTCCTCCCAAGAGCCGCATGCAGTAAGAGCCGTTGTCTGCGTTTTGACAAATGAAGAATCCAAGCTCAGAGGGGTTACCTTGTCCCTAGAGCACACCGCTTCTCCAGCATTGCACCCCCTCTGCTCCGAGATCTCTAAGCGGTCGTGGCCCCTCTGGGGCACTCTGCACCTCTCCACCAGGCCCCTCACCACCACTTCCTTGCTGCAGATTGCCCTAGGTTTGTTTTTCTTCGCTCCCTCATTAATGAGTTCCACAGGACATGCTAAGTCTAGTTATGCAGCTTTAATTGGTTTAGTTACAACAAGATAATTCCTTTTTTCTTCTCTCAGAGGCCTTTCTGTTTAAAGACATTTTAGCTGGAAGATGCTAATTATCAATGAGGAGAAAGTGACACCTGAAGAGTTCATTCTCCATCTTGGTCCTTGGTTTCTCCTTTGAACTCCCTCTACCCGGCCCTCGTTCCCACTTCAGCACTTCTCCCCGACCATCATAAAAGAGACCTCTGCCCTGGCCGGGCGGCAGAACTTTCCTTCTCACTTGCCACGGAGTCGTTCTCTCTGCAGTTGTGTCGCAGGCATGGACAGCCTGCGTGAGACCTTCCTCAGCCTCGAAGATGGCTTGGACTCCTCCGACAGCCCTGGCCTGCTGTCCTCCTGGGACTGGAAAGACAGGGCAGGGCCCTTTGAGCTGACCCAGGCCTCTCCCACCCAGAGCCTCTCTCCGGCCCCATCGCTGGAGTCCTATTCTTCTCCTTGTCCGGCTGTGGCTGGGCTGTCCTGTGGGCATGGAGGTGCCAACAATGGGGGCGGCGATGACTGCGGCGGCCTTGGGACTGGCGGCCTGGTGGAGGTGGGCTATGATATGTTAGCTTTCCAGCCTGCCTATCTGCAGGGTGCTGGTGGCCCCAAAACCCCGAAGGGCACCAAAGTCAGGATGTCTGTTCAGCGGAGACGGAAGGCCAGCGAGAGGGAGAAGCTCCGGATGAGGACCTTGGCCGATGCCCTGCACACCCTCCGGAATTACCTGCCACCCGTCTACAGCCAAAGGGGCCAGCCGCTCACCAAGATCCAGACGCTGAAGTACACCATCAAGTACATCGGAGAACTCACAGACCTTCTCAACAGCGGGGCCCAGAGCACCTGAGCTCGGCCCAGGGACTCAGGGACTTACCACCCAGCCCCCTGGGTGGGGGCAGAGGACCTTTAAAGACCTGGACCACCTCACGGCACAACAGCACCTGGTTATCGTTATACAGTGAGCGTGGTGACCTTGTTGTCTGAAAAGTTCTAAGGGAATTCCCACTGGACTAGTCAGGACCACCAGAACACTTAACTGACAGTCAGCAGGTACTTTTGCTTCCAGTTTTCCCACCATTTCTCAAGAGACTTGCCCTTTGCAAAGAGACAGTTGGCTTTACCCTTTTCTGTCTGTTCGAGGTATTTTAAAGGGTCAGTGATTTCAAATGTATTTTTTCAATCGTGTAAAATTGTTACAATTAATCTTCTCCTGCCATTTTGGGGGGGGGGTAGCTTTCTTTCTGTTGCTAACTAAACCTGTATTTTGTACGGGATCCAGGGTGACACCTGGATTCTTACTTAGAAAGATTAGTGTCAAGTAAAGGGCTACAGCGCTCCTGTTTTATTTTGTTCGTGTGCGTGTGTGTGTGTGTGTGTGTGTGTGTGTGTGTGACTAAAATCAGGCCTTTGCTTTTGCAGGGAACAAAATCACTTAAATGCAGAAGAAATTAGTGACATGGTAAATAGAAACTCACAGGCAGACAGACTACATTAAGACAGACTGGAGAGTTTAAAGACCAGCCCCTTCTCTCTTAAGGGAAAGAAAAGGAGGCTTTACAGGGCTTTTGGAGCCAGAGGAGGAAAAGGCGGAAGACTCAGCATCACAGCCGGGGCTTGAATAGAGCTGGGAGGGTGGGCTCTCCCTGAGCCAGGCCGGGTGTGAATATGATGACCTCACTGAATCCCTTCACTTACTCATTTCTCAAATGAAGAGATTGGCCCAAAACTCTAGTTTGAGTCTAGAGATAAGTGAAAGGGTCAGGATTAGAACTCAAGTCTCTGTCTAACCCTCCAAAGGGATTTATTTCTTTAGCCATAGCTCCTTCTCCTACACCCCCCAAATCACCTCACATGCACGCCCGCACAAACACACCCCCTCTTCCCAGTACCTCATCTTAAGGTGGTGACTGTAGCGCCCTCAGCTTGGCTGATCTGATGGCACACGTCATTGAAAAGGAGGCTTGGAATTAAGGAGTTCCTCAGAAACTAGTAGGCTTTTTTGTGTGTGTGTGTGGTACGCGGGCCTCGCACTGTTGTGGCCTCTCCCGTTGCGGAGCACAGGCTCCGGACGCGCAGGCTCAGCGGCCATGGCTCACGGGTCCAGCAGCTCCACGGCATGTGGGATATTCCCGGCATGCACCTGCATCGGCAGGCGGACTCTCAACCACTGCGCCACCAGGGAAGCCCTAGTAGGCTTTTTTAGGGCTGAATTTTTCTCCCAATTGTTATTAACCAGCTGCTTTTTTTTTTTTTTTTGGTGAATTGTCTCCTGTCATTTTTTCTACTGGTTTTTTTTCTTGTTTTTAATAACAAATTACAAAGGCAGTAGGTGTGTTCACAATTTAATATATAACTTCTCCACTTTCTTTGCTGATACAAACGTATACAAATAAATATAGGTGTATATACATTTTTTAAGAATACCTTGAATTCTGAAAATTGCTTTTTTTTTACTTAGCAATATATAGTAAAAGTCCTTCCAGTTTAACACAAATAAATCCGTATTGTAAGTACCATTATTTCTTTGATTTTATAGATGAGGAAATTGAAGCACAGACTTGCCCTAAGTCACACGTGAAAAATATAGGGGAAAGTAGAGGTTCGAACAATGTTCCATAGCACAGGTATGCTATGCTAAACACAATTTGTTTAATTAATCACCTTTTGAATGAAATTTAGGGTTTTTTCAGTTTTTTATTACCAAAAACTGCTGTTAACAAACATCACGGACAACTAGCTTTATCCACTGATATTATCATTAGCTTGAAAATTTCCCAGAAATGGGATTCCTGGATCAGACTTGTGTGCTTGCACACTTTAAATTTAAATAGATACAGTTAGGTGTAGAAAAGTTCGTAGTTATTTACACTTGCCCAACATTATGGGACAGAAGCAGCTGGTCCACGTTGTCCCTGGATATTATCAATCTTCTGAAATTTTCAATGGATTAAAAAAGGGTTCTGCTGTTCTTGTGTTAATTTTAATTTCCCTGTGTACAATCTGAGATGGCTCACCTTTTAAAATCTTTTTGTGACTGCTGTTCATTTTGGTTCTTCTATAACTCGCCAGTGTATGTCCTTTGCCAGTTTTCTATTGGGTTATTTATCTTGTTAAGAATTTGGGAGATTTCTTTGCACACTGTACGTATTGAAAATTTTCCTTCCAGTTTCTCATTTTGTTATCATCTTTGTGTATGGTATCTTATATTTATGATTTTGATTCTGATATCTTTTGTTCTTTGAAGCTTTTCATTTGTATATGATCAAATCTCTCCTCTTTTTTTTTAATGGCTTCTGTGTTTCTTCCCTTTGCTTAACTTCTCCCAGTTCCAAGGCTATCCAAATATTTTGATTTTTCAAATATTTTAATATTTATAAATGGATCTTTAATATACCTGCAATTTATTTTTGTCCATAGTGCAAAGAAGGAATCTAACTTTATTTCTGATTAATCTTCTTATAACTGCAAAATAAGTATAACTTGTCATGAGGGGTGGTGGGTGACAGTGGGGAAGAGCTGCTAAAATGTCATCCTATGTATACAGATCTTTGTCTACTTCTGATGTATTTCTTGTTGATGCCTTAGAGGAGAAACTAGAAAATGTTGAATAATATCAAGATTTTCTTCAAGGGATTCCACCCTGTGCATGTACAGGTGTTCACGTGAGCATGTGTGTGTGTGCAGATGTGTGTGTATTTGTTCCTTTGTGTGTGTGTGTGTGTGTGTGTGTGTGATGTTTCATGTGTCGGGGGAAGAGAATTAGAGAGGATAATAATATGGGAAAGGGAGTGTTCAGCCTTTCATCAGCGTCTAGACCAGCTGGTATTTTCCTTGCCATTTTAAAGAGAGTGGAACCCAAATGTGCTTGGCTTTTGATTTTTTCTTTTTTTTTTTTTTTGCGGTACACAGGCCTTTCACTGTTGTGGCCTCTCCCGTTGTGGAGCACAGGCTCCGGACACGCAGGCCCAGCGGCCATGGCTCACGGGCCCAGCTGCTCCACGGCACGTGGGATCCTCCCGGACCGGGGCACGAACCCGTGTCCCCTGCATTGGCAGGTGGACTCTCAACCACTGCGCCACCAGGGAAGCCCAGCTTTTGATTTTTTGAAGCTCAAGCTTTAAGCATGGTTTATACATCGCTTGAATAATTTTGGTTGCCCTGGGGACAAAATACTGTGGATGGGTTAGGAGGTCCTATCTTTAGTTTCAAAAAATTCTGGAAAGCCACCAACTCAACTACTAGGTGGGCTTGCCCTCAGGACTCCGAAGGTCCTCCTCAGAGGGGAGGCATGTGGAAAGCCTGGAGTAGGTGACAGTTCCCTGGTCTTACCGTCACCACCTGCAGCCCCGGCAGGCCGTCACCAGGAGAGGCAGCTGCACGTCAGCATTCAACTCCGCAGTAATCCCCAGTGAAGTCATCTCCGGAGTGGGGAGGATAGCTAGCTGGACCGGGTCCCTGATTCCTCTAGAAAGCAGTTAAAAGCAGTTGGCTCAAGCGTAGCTCAAGATTAAGTTATTTCTGGTGCTTGGCTAGGGAACCACAGTTTGTGGGCATCCACCGTGTTGTGGTCAGAGTTTTCACACTCATAATTTCATGTAATCCTCCTAACCGCCCCTGGGGGTGGACGTTATCAGTCCCGTTTTGAGGATGAGGAAACGAAGGTTTAGGACAGCTAAATGGTGTAAAGCCACACGATTAGCTGCGGGCACGTGGTTGGCTAGTTGGCAGCGGGTGAGTTCAGCTCTTAACTCCAAAGCTCGGGCCCCTCCTGCAGAATCGCGCTGCCGTTTCCTCCAGGCGACTCTGTGTGCCCTGGGCTGAGCAGACAGAGAGCTTTCTCGGCAAATGCTCACGCCCAGGCTTCTCAGCTTTGTCTCTGCCTCGCCATCTCTGGGGCCCTCATTTCTTTTACTGTCTGAAGCATTTCTGAAAGGGCTCTTCATCTTGTCCTCTAAACTATTTCCCTTTGAACTTCTGCCTCTGCCCCAAACATTTCCTCCAAAATTCCTTTCACCTCCTTGCTGGCGCCTAGAGTCCTTCTTAATCCACAGAGAAACCTGACTTCTGCTGTTCATTTGTGTTCAATAAAATGTTCCACAATTCACACCAGGCTGAGGTTTCTTTGTTCTTCTTGTGGTTTAGGCCGCATCAGCTAATTGGGAGAGAGGTCAGAGCTGGGGTGGGAGAGAGCCTCAGCAAACTGACAAGTCGACAGAATTACCCTTACTTTAGGACATCTTAAAAAAAAAACAACAGCAAAAGAAGATGCATATGCAAGTGAGTTTTGGAGCTGCCGCTCTGAGCTCTCATTACAGTAGCTTAGTATATTATGTGACTCCCCTGAGGCGTTGTTTGATTCCCATACAGGCTCCAGGCTGCAGCAAGGAGACTGGACCTGGGCCTTGACCCCTGTGGGCGCAGTCCAAGCTGGCTTGAAGGCAGCAAGAGCTTGGCAAACACCTCTTGTCCTCCTGCTGGGAAGCCAAGATAACCTCTACCTTGCAATGAAATACTGAAGACTAAGCAGTGCCTCTTAGAGCAGCGCTGGATGGACTTGCTCTTATTATTTTGGTTCCAGAAAGTCCCAGCCCTGAGGAGGAAGAAAGCAAAAATCTTCTGAGAAGCCTGGGGAGAAAGCACACTTATTTGTTTGTCTCTTGGGGTTGGGGCTATTGACTCTCCTTTCCTTAGCAGAGTCTCCCATTAAGTTCTTTCTCATATAAACTCTATTGACTTCTACTTCTCTTCATTAAGTTAAGTGGGGAGCCCAGCAGGGCTGGAGGTCAGGGCTGTGCAGGAGGGAGGAGAGTTTAGAAGGCACCGCACAGGCTCTTCCCAGCCCTGCCAACAGTAGTTGTAGATTCATCATCTGAGGTGTCAGTCTCAGGGGCAAAGACTCAATATACTTTTTCTCTTTCACTCTTAACAGCCAACAATAGGAGATCACTAATATTAGCCCATTTTGCAAATAAAGACACAGGCTCAGAGAAGCCAAGTCACCTTGCCCAAGGTCACATAATTGGTGCAGGGCTCAGGATTCCACCCAGGGCTGCTTGACTCACTGTTTTGACAAGACTAAGCTCCAGGTGCCGGAAATGCAGCCAGGAACAAAATAAGACACAGCAGAGTCTCCGCATTCAAGCCTCTCCCACTAGTCTATGCTCTCATTTGAAGAAGGTTTGCATTTGCATGTTCAAGCAACTTTATAGGATGTACAGAGATCAGGGCATATTTTAAACTGTGATACCTTTTCTACTCTCCTCCCACATGATATAGAGCATGGTCATTCTTTCTCTCTCTCTCATAGACTGGAATGTGAGAAAAGTATGGGAGTTTGGTAACAAACTTGGGGCTTTTGTATGCCTCCAAAGGGATCACAGATCAGATTTCAGAAGTACTTGTTCCTAGGGACTACAGTTTACACATCATTTCCTTCAGTTTCTTTTGGGTGCAAAATGAAAAAATGGAAAATGGAAATCATAATATTAATAATAATGGCACAACAACGAATACTTATTGTGTGTTTACTCTGGGTAAGGCACCGTTCTAAGTACTTTGCATGAAATAACTACTTTAACCCCTTATGAATGAAGAAATAACTACTTTACTACCCTATGAAATAAGGACTAAAGTTTTCCCCATTTTATAGATGAGAAAACTGAGGCACAGAGAAGTGAAAACTAATCCAATTTTACACAACATATCAGCAGCAGACCCAGGAATCAAACCCCAGCACGTTCCACACTAAGCCCTTACTATTACACCAGGTGTGTCTTTATATTGGTTTAGTGATTACAAAACATTTCACATACATTATCCTATTTGATTCTTTAATTCCTGTTTAACCTAATTATATATGAAGTTGAACAAGGATTGTTATGTCCAGTTTACAGATGAGGCTATTAAAGGCTCATAATGACAAAATATCGTAACTAGGAATAAATGGCAGCTCTGGTACCAGAATCCAAGTGTTTAAACTCCTGGTCTGGTACTTTCTGGCTAAACTTTTCTGTCTCCAAAGGAAATCTAGTTGTGCCTTAAAGCCTGCCCCTAAGGGGATCCTCATAACAA